GCCATGACAATCGTTTGCTGAATCAGATGTGGCTACCAATATGATCTGGCAGATTCTTACGGACGAAATATTTGAATTTATGCTCTGTATCTTATTTTTTTTCACCCTTGGCTATGTTCGAGAAGGTGCCGGCAGCCATAGCCGAGGAGTTGATCGAGAGGGTTGACCAAGAGTTGACCGGGGTTTGACCAAGGGTTGACCGAGGGGTTGACCGGGGCATACCGCGTTGACCAGGGCGTTGACGGAGCGTTGTCCGAGGTGTTGACCGAGCTGCTGACCAAGTTCGACCAAGCTGGAGTGGTATATTCTCGCCAAGCCTTCAGCCCTTCCCCTCGCCCTATGGATGTGCACACACCCTGTGGTACTTGTTGAGTCTGTGTTTGTCTGTCTCTTCTTTCTGCATTGAGTTTCTTCTGTCCTAGGTGTTAGGAACTCGATGTATGAAGGATAGGGCCTACTGACCACTCCCCTACCTGACTTAGTAGAGCTGAGCTCGAGCCTATTTCATTGTCCCGGAGGGAGAAACCTCCCAAGGACCGGTACGGACCGGCGGGATACTGAGCTTGATCCGATAGGCTTGAACCGCAGAGTTGTGGGCTGAAACACAGGTCGTCTTTAAGTATTGAGGGCCTTGTTGAACCACTCCCCTACCGGATCAAGTAAGGCTAAAGGCCGTGTCTGACGACTCGACTGTCCCGGGGGACACGAACCCTCCCAAGCAAGGACCGGTACAGACCGGCGGGCTGCTTGGTGTGGCACGGTAGGCCCGAAAGGCTGAGTTGTGGGCTGAAGCCAAGGCATAGCCAAGCTGATCACGTCGTCCTGTCTGCGACGTTAAAGAATTCTTGAGGAGTTACGGGGGATCTCCTTAAATGCCTCCAGATCAGCAATTGGCTCAGTAGTGACAGCCTTAGAGTAGAGTATAGTCCAGGCTAGTGACCCTAGTTGGCAGGGTCTGAACCGGAGAGACAGCCAGGTGGGTTTGACCGCAGGTGCTGGGCATCTGGGTCTGAATTGCAAGGACTGTGGTTGCGAAAGCTTCCGTCGGCCGTGGTAGCCTGGCTGGATCAAAGGGGAAGGACTCTGTGGTCCTTAGTGGAGTCTAAGTCAGTCAGTGGGTTAGTCTTCGGGTAAAGTGGTGAGGAGTGGGACTTTTGTCGTGCACCGCACACGATGGACGACTATCCGATGTTGGGTTACTTGTTGGGTTCTCCTTATGGGGGACCCTCTGGCGTCTCCTCTTCCCATTGGGGTTCAGACGAACCATCGTGTGTAGAGTAGACACTCGCGGTGGTACTACCACCACTCCTTACTCCAAGGAGGATCAGGAGAAGATGGCCACCATCTTGCGGGAGAGGAAGGAGAAGGAGGCCAAGAAGAAGGCCTTGATAGAAGCACAGGCGGCGAAGCTGAAAAAGATTGAGGAGGAGATGGCCAGAGAAAAAGGAAGATTGAAAAAAGAGTAGGAGGCGAAGCTAAAAGAGGTTGAAGAGGAAGAGGAAGAAGAGGAGGTTCAACCACTGGAAAGGAGGAGAACCTGGGAAGTCGGGCAATCCAGTGGGGATGATTTGGAGAAGAAAATCTTTGAATGGGTTGCCAACTTGTCTGTCGGGGAAGCAGAAGAGGTGGCCATGTATATCCCAAAGGCGGAGCAGGAAGCTGCTATGGAGTGGGATGCAGAAGAAGATTCCCTGAAGAGAGGCAATGGAGGACAAGAAGAGGATGGAGTGGCGTTACAGAATGTCACAGGAGAAGAAGAAGAGGATAGACGCGGCCAGCGCAGCCCCACAGGAGGTGGCCGAGATCCGAAGGTTGAGGGAACAGCTAGTGGCGCAAATCGATCTCCAAAGAAAGATGGAGATCATTGCTCAGAACGTTGAGCGATTGGCCTAGGTCCAGGAGGACCAATACGAGTTTAGCCGAGGGCAGGATATGACTGTGCGAGCGATGCGACTGGGGTTTAGGGACTTTGCTCGCGAACTGGTAGGCGCAGTAGGGGCCGAGGTGAAACATCGCCTCGAGAAGACCGAACGGTTCTCCGTGGGCGCCATCGAAGGCACCAAGATAGCGGCTCCTAAGGAAGAAGAAACTCGACCGCGTAGAGAACCGGTCAAAGTCAAATTTCCTGATTCCTACAGTGGGAAGAAGGAGGAAAACTTTGACAACTGGGAGGCCAACGTGAAGTCTTGCGTGCACCTGCGGAAAGTCTCCTCTGATGAGCAAGTGCTCATCGCCATCCACGCGCTAAAAGATGATGCTGCCAACTTTGCCAGATCCCTTGTCCGCGCTGCAAACTGCAACGAGGACCCGGTTGCTTACTCTGCTTTTACTCCCCTCGCTGAGTTCCTCAAATTGTTGCGTGAGCGTTTTGCGGATGTGTCGCGCAGTGTCAAAGCTGCTGATAGGCTGCAGACCATCCATTCTCGTCAATGGAAGAGCGCTAGGGCACTCAAGGGTGTCATGGATGAGTTAGTGGTTGTTCCGGACCACGGGGTCACTGAGCCCCAGTTGGTCAAGCTCTTCTACCGGGCTATGCCCGAATCTCTCAGAGGGCACTTCTTTGCGAAGGCCCAAGACCCTGCCACCACTTATGATTCGTTGAGTAGGGAAGTGGTGGCTTTTGAGGCCAATTCTGTGTCAGTTTCCACTTTCTGGCACAAAGATTTAGACAAGGGAAAGAAGTGGAAAGGTCGCACTATCTCAGGGCAGATTAAGACCAAGGATAGTTTAGTCCTGACCCTGGATGAAGGAAGTGTGGACGAGATCCCCTACGAACAAATTGAGTGGGGGTTAGAGGAAGAGGACAGCGGCGCAAGCGAAGGGAGAACTTATGCTGCTGCCGCAGCTGGAGGGGGGCCGCAAGGAGGAGGACGAGGTCAGGGCCAAGGGGGACGGACCTCAGGGGGTCGATCTCAGGGCGATCAGGGGGTTGTTGGCAAAGGAAGGGGCCGCCAAGCGGGAGGAAGGAGTCAAGGTCCCCCGCAAAACCGCCCTAGGAACAGGTCCCCCTATAGGAAAGGAGGATGGCATCCAGGGTTGCCTCAGGGCAAGCCTTGGGAAGATTTGGGCTTGGACAAGGGCGTATGGCAACAGCGTGTGGAGCGGGGCTAGTGCATCTACTGCGGTGACCCGGGCCACATTATAAAATTTTGTCCTAAGTATCGAGAGGCCCAAGCGGCTGACCGGGGAGCAAAAGGCAGCCGCCGGTAGGGGGAGCAACTGCCCCTACCCTAAGGCCATGTGGGGAAACTAGCGTTAGCCGGCAATATACTCCCACACCATATGAGCCTATGGCAGAGGTTGCAGGCCGGTGTCTGAATAGCTGTCCAGAGACTATTGGTGTTAGAGTCTCTTTAGACACCTCCCTCACAGGCGTGGCTGAAGAGCTGAAGGAGAGGATGCCCGCCTGGGCCAAGATGAAGAAAGAGCAAAAGGGACAACTGATCTTAGTAGATGTAGAGGTTTTTGGAAGTAGAGTAGGGGCCTTAGTAGATACAGGGGCCACCCGGAACTATATTAGTAGAAAAGCGTTGCAGAAGTTGAAGCTGGGATTGAAGGTCCAAAAGTTAGCAGACCCGATAGTTAGCATCCTCGCTGACAACCGTACGATGGTGATCGAGGATTATGTCGAGGGAGTCCAGGCATACTTTCGGCTAGAGAAGGATGGGAAAGTGGAAAAGGTCCTCCACTCCCTGACTCTCCTCGTAGAAGATAACCTCCCCTTTGATGTGATTCTGGGAATGGATTAGGGAGAGGCAGTTGGGGCCACACTGCATTTGAAAGAGCATGAGTGTAGGCTCCCAAGTCCTTCAGGCGAGGCAAAGACAACTCGCCTGTTTCATGTGTCCGGAGTAGACAATCCCCTGGCACACTGCTGCCTCAGTGCTCCTGCCTTCGCTAGACTGGTGAAGAAGGAACACTTGGAAGAGCAGGTTTTTGTGGCCTATGTCAGGCCAGCCACTGAGCCCGAGGAGGAAAGACCCATAGATCCTGCGGTTGCCAAGCTGTTGGAAGAGTTTAAGGACTTAGCTGAGCCGCCGGTAGGAGTAGTGTCGCGGCCTATCCAACACAGGATTGAGATAGAGCCTGGCAGCAGGACTCCTAAGGGGGCCATATACAGGATGTCCCCCTGAGAGTTGGAGGAGCTTCGCAAGCAACTAGACGAACTCCTTGAGAAGGGTTGGATTAGGCCCAGTTCGTCTCCGTTTGGAGCACCTGTTCTTTTCGTCCCAAAGAAGGAGGGGGAGTTGAGAATGTGTATAGACTATAGGGGTATGAATGCGGTAACAATGAAGAATGTTGAGCCACTGCCTAGGATAGACGATCTTTTGATCGAGTGCAGGGGGCCAGATACTTTTCAAAGATAGGTTTGAAGTCCGGCTATCATCAGATAGAAGTGCATCCTGATGATCAGTATAAGACAGCCTTCCAGACTAGATATGGGCACTATGAGTTCAATAGTGATGCCCTTTGGACTAACCAACGCGCCAACAACTTTCCAGTGTTGCATGAATGATCTGTTTAGGCCGTGGTTAGATAGATTTGTTGTTGTTTACTTAGATGACATCCTAGTGTTTAGTAAGACCCTCGAAGAACATCAGGGTCATCTCAGGTAAGTCTTGGAGAAGCTGAGAGAAGCTAACTTCAAGATCAACGCAAAGAAGTGCGAATGGGCGAAGACGCAAGTGTTGTACCTAGGCCACGTCTTAGACGGAGACGGCGTCAGGCCCGAGGATGCCAAGATCGTAGCGATTAGAGATTGGCCCATACCGCGGACGCTAACAAAATTGCACTCGTTCCTGGGCTTAGCTAACTACTATAGGAAGTTCGTGAGGAACTTCTCCACCATCGCTGCGCCCCTTCGCAGATTGTTGAAGAAAGAAATAATCTGGAAGTGGGACAAGGACTGCACGTCTGATATGAAGAAGTTAAAGCAGGCACTAATTCGATTCCCAGTCCTCAAAGTCGTCGACCCGTCCTTACCATTTGTTGTCACCACTGACGCCAGTCAGTATGGTATAGGTGCTGTGTTGCAGCAAGACGATGGCAATGGTTATAGACCCGTAGAGTTCATGTCTGCTAGAATGCCTTTAGAGAAGGTAGCAGCATCCACCTACGAAAGGGAACTCTACGCTCTCAGGCAAGCGCTAGACCACTGGAAGCACTACTTGCTTGGGAGGCACTTCAAAGTTTACTCAGACCACGAGACGTTAAGGTGACTGAAGACGCAGGCCAAGATGACACCTAAATTAACGAGGTGGGCCGCATAGATTGACCAGTATGACTTTGAGCTCAAGCCGGTCAAAGGGAAGTATAACGTAGTGGCGGACGCTGAGTAGAAGGGCTGATTACTTTGGGGCCATAGTTCATTACTTAGATATAGGAACGGACCTGCAGCAGAAGGTAAGAGAAGCGTACGCGCAGGATCCTATCTACAGTGACCTCCTTCAGAGAGTCAAGGAAACCCCAGAGTCTGAGCCATACTACCGCACTACTGGCGGGTTATTGTTTGAGAAGACTGACGTAGCAGACCATTTGTGCGTTCCCAACAGTGAAGAGATCCGGAGTTTTATCCTGGGGGAATGTCACGATACAGAGGGACACTTCGGTTGGCAGAAGACTTTAGCCAACCTGATGCGCGCGTATACCTGGACAGGGATGAAAAATGACTGCATAGAGTATGTTCGCAGTTGTAAAGTTTGCCAGAGGAACAAGACAACGACGCATGCCCCTCTTGTTCTCAGACCCTTGCCTATCCCTGACCAGCCGGGTGATTCAGTGTCCATTGACTTCATGGACACCGGCATCAAGAGTAGGCATGGCAAGAGCCAAGTTATGGTCGTAGTAGACAGGTTTAGCAAGGATGCTATTTTTGTACCTTTGCCTTTTGAGGCTAGGACAAAATTAGTAATTCAGAAGTTCTTTGACCATTGGTTCAGTGAACACGGGATCCCACTGTCCATAGTTAGCGATAGGGACACCCGGTTCACAAGTCAGAATTGGCAGGAGTTGATGCGAGTCTACGGATCCAAGTTGTTAATGTCATCTGGCCGTCATCCTGAGACAAACGGTCAGGCTGAGCAGATGAACAAGATCCTGCAGGAAGTCCTGTGCATGTACATTAGACCTGATCAAGTCAACTGGGATGAAATGCTCCCAAAGGTCGCTAGTGCGTACAACAACAGTGTGCATTTGTCAACTAATCGCACTCCCAACGAGTTACATAAGTCCTTTAGACCGCGTAGGCCATTTGAAGGACTTAACCGGGATCAGATTCATAGATTACCGCCCGGTACCAGGGAATTTGCCATCCAGCAAGAGAAAGAGATGGCAACTATTGTTGACAACATCAGAAAGGCCCAGCACCGGATGATAGAGCAAGCTAATAAGCACCGTCGCCCCTCACAATTTCAAGTAGGCGACCTGGTCTGGGTCAAGTCTAAAGAGTTTGCGCCCGAGGAGAACATTCCGCAGAAGTTGTTGCCTGCATATAGAGGACCGTGGCCGGTTCTAGAAGTCAAGGGCGGAGAGGACGGACCGTCCTATACTATAGAAATCCCAGCACACCTCCACACGTACCCAGTATTCCATGCATCAAAGTTGTTGCCTTGTCAGACCAGTGATCAGTTTTCGTCCCGCAGATCTATGATCCCACCAGATATGGACGGAAGGTACGACATCGATCGCATAGTGGCCGAAGATATATTTAGAACTGGAGATAGGGGTCGTCCACAGAAACAGTACAAGGTTCGTTTTGCATACCAGGAGCCAGAGGATGACCGCTGGTTCACAAGAACCGAGCTTCTAGAGTCCGCTCCCGACGTAGTGAGGGCCTATGAACGAGAACAGAAGGGTATAGGTCCTGCCTTGGACTGAAGCATTCTCGAAGGACCTCGAATTTAGGCCGACGGGAGCGAAACGGATTCCACGATTGCAGTAGCTGATGCAGGTCCCGGGGCTCGATCCCACGACCTCCCCCTTACTTGTGTGTAGTATCCGTGCAGTTCACGAGAGTTGAACCTGCGACCTGTACGATAGCCAGTGGTAGGTAGGTCGTCGTAGGTCTCAGGGGATAGGGGGATTCGAACTGTAGACCTGTAGGTAGCAGTCTAGGTAGGGCTAGAGGTCGTAGCTGTAGACTGTCCGAAGGGTCAAGGTCGTAGCCGCTACTTACCTGAAAGGTCAAAGTCGTAGCTGCTACAGTACCGAAAGGCCAAGTAGAAGGTTCTAGGAGTGGCCTTTCGGAGTCAGCCCACCAGAGGTCAAGGCAAGTGGGCAAGTGGCGAAGTCTTACCTTGCAGAGTCAGCGGTCTCAGTCCCAGTCGCACTTTGCACAGTCAGCAAGTACCGTGTGGGACTGTGTGCACCCAGGGCCTGAAGGGAGGAGTGCAGACCAGCGCCAAGAGAAGTATAAATAAAGATGCAGCGCCCAGCCATCCATTCATTCCCGTGGAAGCGATGCGGAAGCGCTGCCTCAGCGCATCCATTCATTCCTGTGGAAGCGATGCGGAAGCGCTGCCTCAGCGCCTTGTGCTAGGTGGTCTGCAGACGGCCCGAAGTCTAAGTGGGCAAGAAGAGTAGCCACAGCTAGGGGTAGTGGCTCACAGGCGCCATAGCTGTAGATAGCGCGCAGAGTGTGTGTGGCGTGTATGCGTGCGTGCAACGTGCAATGCGTGAGGTATCCAGGGTGATCCTACGTGGGTTGTGTGCGTGTGCAGTGAGGTGGGACACAGTGTCGAGTTGGGGATCAGGCGCACAGGCGCCATAACTGTTAAGACGAAGTTGCATCCAAACTGTGTTTCCAGACTCCATATCTCTGAGCTTTGTGTGGGCGCACAGCGCCAAGCTGTTTGTCATCTGTGCATGCATGCGAGTTGAGAAATAAAGCAAGTCTGATTGTAGCTGCTTCTGAGCATCATTATTCCAGCCTAAAAACGGCTGAGTACCATCCAGGGTCACAACTTCTGTCAGAACAGTGGTCACCTCACCCACTGTGCTATGGTCATTTTAGCCTCGTCTGACACAGTCGCAAAAAACCCCCTCTTTGCCCAAGTCTTACCAAAACGAGCTATACTCAGTCTTTCCCAGTCTGCTAAAGTTGCCAGACGAATCTCTTGTTTGATCATATTGCAGGTCTGCTGAAAGGATATTATAGTCTTTTTAAAGATCTTTGCATTCCTTGTTTCCCACAGGACCCCCATAATGATGCCTCTGTAGATCAGTGCGATGTACCATTTTCCTGTTTTGAAGCTAGCCCCTTCCGGTATCTTACCGTACAAAATGAACGAGTCAGTCCATTCTTCGGTAATCTCTGTCCATTGTTTCCAGTTATCCTTCCACCAGTCCCACACTCTGTCCGATAGAGGGCAGTACAACCATAAATGAGTCGCATTTTCCCACACCCATTCACATCTTTCACAAGTTGTGGGAATATTCATTCCCTTGGTATTTAACCACATGGTTGTCGGTACCACCAACAGAGATTGTAGCCATTGGATAGCTGCTTGCTTCTGCGAAGGAATAATCTTTAAAGCCTTCCACAGCTTATACAGGTCCCTATCCTGTACTTCCGTGATCTGCAGGTCTTCTAGTCTCTTCAGGGCAGTAGAGGCTGGTTTCTTTTTAATTTTACCACTTCTTTGCAGAGGCCCTACTCTGGTTTTGTAGTCAAAAAGTGGGCATTTTGGCTGCCCAAGCAGTTCCCAGCCTAGCACCAGAGGTTCAATCCTCCCAGTATCTATTTCAACATTAAGAACTCGAGCTTCAATAGTAGTACCCTTGCAGTATTCCCATATTCTCACTTCCCTGGCATCAATTGTTGATGGGATTACTCGATCTTCCACCAACATCAGTCTGTCACTTCGGAGAGTCCTTCTTTTCCAGCTCTGAACTTTTATTCCGGATCTGAGATCGGGCCCGACCACTTTCCAAAAAACTCCTTCATCAGTCTCATCTTTTAGCCAGACCCCTAGTCCTGCTTCTGCGTTCTTTCGGAGAGCTGCTATCCAATGGACCGGAGTGGCTTCCTTAATCCTTTCAAAGTTTGTCTCCAGATTCCGTAGTCTAGGTAGTTTCCCTTTCAGGTCCTGTAGCGTGATCCAGTCTCCTTCCTTTTGAACCCACAAGTCCCTTACTTGAAGTATACCTTTCTCCACCCAAGTGCGTCCGAACGAGTCTGGACTTCCATCTGCCAGCAGAAAATTCCCTCCCGCAGGTTTGATCCAGTCATTTTCAAACAGCACTTGGTTCAAAATTTCCTCTTTGGATACCGGTTCAGTCAATGTTTGGGGTCTCACTCTATTCCATGCAAAAATAATATTTTTCCATATTCGAGACTTCGAATGTCTTTGACAATAAGATTTGATCTGGAAGCACAACCAAACCTGTTTTCCCTTTTGCAGATTTCATTCCACCATCAAAATATGTTCTGCCAGAACAATCCACAACTTTCCTCTGGGGCCAAACATCGCCATCACCGGCCACTTTGCGAGCAATGTCAAGTTTTTTTGTTGTGGGTTTAGGATTCCAAGACCTCCTTGGTCCCTGGCGCAGGTGATTGTTTCCCAGGCCACCTTCGTAATAGAGCCTTGAGATTCATCCGCCTGTGGTTTCCAAATATATCACGCTCCAACCCTCTTTATAGCCATGTAGGCCTCATCCCCCAACAAGTGGACAGTTAGAGGGAACCACAGGATTGAGAAAGCAGCCTGCGAAAGAACTAATGCTCTGCCAAAAAGAGAAAGTCTATGGTTTCTGGCCCATCCCAGTAACTGTCCGATAACTTTATCTTTCAAGAGGGTATGCTGTGTGCTGGCATTGTCTGTCAGGGAAATTTGGACTCCTAGGAAACGTTGTGAATTGTTAGCCGGTATCTGCCTGAGACCCCAGTCCACACTGAGTGTGTATAGGGGTGGGAGAATATACACCGACTTTTCCCAATTAATTGATGCCTCAGAGAGACGACAATACTCCTCCAGTACATCTCGCAATTCCAAAAGTGACTCCGGAGTATTTGCGCTCGCTGCTGTGAGGTCGTCTGCAATAGCCCCCCCCTTCCAATGGACATTGGAGGGGAGTTGAAGACCAACTATCCTACTATTAGTTCTAATGTTATGCAGTAATACTTCCAATTGAATAACAAACAATAAAGGGGCTAAGGGGCAGCCTTGACGCAGGGATCTTGTCAGGGGGAAAGCCTCAGACAGTCTACCATTTACCATAACCACCGACGTCGCCTCCACATACATAGCCTTCACCCAGTTACAAAATCCTTCTCCGAATCCCATTTTAGACAGAGTGGTGAAGACGAAAGCCCAACCTACCTTATCGTATGCCTTTTCCATATCAATCAACAAAATCGCAACTTCTCTCTTTTCCTTTGCTATTATTTCTAGCGCTTGAATGGTAGACATTATGGTATCAAATATCGTCCTCCCTTTGATGAAGGCGCCCTGTTCCCACCCTATAAGTTGGGGTAAGTGATTGGCCAGTCTCAATGCGAGGGCATTGGCCAGAATTTTGTAGGCTACATTAAGCACTGAGATTGGCCTATAATTCTTTACTTCCTTCTTATCCCCTTTTTTATATAGGAGAGAAATCACCCCCTTAAGCCAACCCTTGGGCAATTTTCCCGTCCTCAGAGAATTATTAAAAATCTGGCAGAAAAATGGGCCAAAAACTTCCCAAGTGCACACAAAGAGTTCTATTGGAAGCCCATCTAATCCAGGGCACTTCCCTTTTGCCATCTGTTTCGCTGCCTCATATAGTTCTTGTGAGGAGAAGGGGAGATCCAGGTCCTTCTTAACCGAAGTTGGCAAGATGGAGTGTAGTGTGTCCCAAAAGGGGGAGATCCCAGACAGGTCCGGGGGAGATCCCAGACAGGTCCGAATCCACCGGCTCTCCCGGGAAACTAGTAGAAACAATGTCTGCAAAATATTGCCTTGCGTAATGACACATCTCCTCAACCGCATTAGCTATAGGAGCCTCCCGATCAGTGGGATGAGCTAGTTCCCTGATCATAGGTTTGGATTGGCGCAATATAAGGGATCTGAAAGTGATCTTTGTCATTCTATCATACCCAATCAAACCCCTAATTTTTAGCCCACTCCAACCACTCCTTTTGCTTGCTTGGCTCTAGTTCCTCCAACAGAGCCAGATTTTGATTCCTTTGTTGAGCCCAGTAATAGTCTGTGAAAGGGTCTCTCCCCGTTTTCCCTTCTGCCTCTTCTATTGCTTTGTGGGCACATTTCTCTCTCCAAGTTCTATTGGCAGCTTTCATACGTGAGAACGTACTTAGTGCGGCCGTTAAAATCCCCAGGCCTACTTCAAGTTCCGCCCAATCATGTTCATGGGCAAACAAGTCCCTTGCTTCCAACCAGGCTGCCATCTGAGTCTTTACCCATTCGGGTATGCCCTTGTCCTTTAGTAGATTAACATTCAATCTAAAAGGAGGGCGAACTCTTTCAAATTGTTCCCTGGCTGCTACATCCATGCACACAGGATGATGGTCCGACAAAGATTCAGCCTTGAAATCACACCAGAGGCATCTATCCCAAATAACCCCCCTAGCCAGAAAAAAATCCAACCTTTTTCTTGGCTGGAGGACGTGTGGCACAGGTTGAGGGCCGTACCATGTAAACCGTCCTTCTTCAGGATTCAGTACTCTCAACACATCTATCAAATTCTGTGATTCTACCAAAGCTGAAAGCATCATATTGTCTGATATCAAGGGCTTTGCTGTAAGCGAG